TTATCTATTGTTTAATTTTGTATTTGTTAAGATATAATCCCATGTACATAGAATTAAAAGTCATTGTAGTGCTGTCATTATTTATAATTTCTAATATGAATTTATATTAATTTTTCTCAATTTAATTTGTTAGTAGAAACATTATATGTAAAACATATTCAGGTTGTTCTGAGCAATTAAAGGAACTCATCTTACAAAAAAGAAAAAGAAAGTCACAAAAAATAAATAAACTCTTAAGGGCTATAAGTAAACCAGGATCTCTACTAATCCTGATCCAGGCCCAATTCAAGGGCCATCCAACTCAAATGGAGGAAGAAACAGTGATTCGTGCTAAGGCAATTGCTTCTGGCCTCGCTGGTGAAGTTTGAACCCTGAAAAATATAGAATGCAAAGCCAGATTTCAGTGAGTTTCCCAATGAAGAATTAGAGTGGCCTGTTAATCCACTATTGATGAGAACTTTTACTTCTAGCTTTAGACATTGATTTATGTCCTAATGATACATATTATGAAGAAACATTGTGTCAGTTTTGTATATCTGAACTTGTCCCTGTAATGATGACTTTGTGTTTTGTTTTTTTTTGTTTTTGGATTTTGTTGTTGTTGTTGTTGTTGTTTTGGGGATAAAACAAGACATTCAAGTCTAGAGAGCTTCTGAAGAGTTGGGGTTTAATTAGCTCTTAGTTTTGGAGACAAAATACCTCATAATTAAGGGCCGCATATATTCAAATGGGTGAAAAATTCTTGGATGTTTCCAACATGTAGGATGCAAAATAGATGAAGGGCTTGAGTAAAGTACTTATAGTTGTTGACAGGATTCCAGCCATGAATATGTTTTGGGCACATGCCATTATTCATCCAACCACAACTCTGCATCCCCACATGCTGACTACTGTCTGTTGGAGCTTTGATATGAAATACTTCTAGATACTTAAGGGTTGAAGTCTTGTTTGGCAGCTAATGTATCTAGACCTTACTTTTTAAGTCTCTCAATTGCTAAGATGACATGTTTTGTGATATTATTCTTTGAAATTCAACATTCAAATATGCAGATCGAAAATAAAGGAGACCATGTTCTGCCATGTTTTTTCTTTTGTGCCTATGTAAAAATAAAGACAGAATGTAGACCATAGGATGTATAACAGTGGAAAGACAGTGGAAAGAGGTCATGCTCTGGTACAGGTGGAAAATTTGAATTTCAACTCCTGCACATTAGTAGGACGGTCTCACTCAAGTCACCCAAGAATCTCTCTCTCTCTCTCTCTCTCTCTCTGTCTCTCTCATTCTCTCTCTCTCTCTCATCTCTGGCATAAACTGAACATCTTCTTCCCATTGTCCTTTAAATCAATCATTTCTGCATGACAGGAGCCTAAAATCAAAGCACTAATTGACCAAGGGTTAAAACCTGTGAAAGTGAATCAAAATAAATCTTTCCTCTTTTGAGATGTTTTCCTCAGATACTGGATCACAGTGGTGGAAAGGTGACTTAGCCCTTCCTCTGGAGTAAAATAGGAAATCATGAAGCAGCTATATGGAACAAGATGCATGGAAGAAATTTAAGATCTTTTTTCATTGGTAGGCTTTAAAGAGTAGGGTCAATTTTCTCAGAATTCTAATATTCACTTCGTGACATAAACCTCTTTGCTAAAAGCATATTAATTTTGTGAAGTAGAAAAATGGAATCACTGCTGAAATAACTTGTCTTACCTAAGAGAAGTTATTCTTTAAGAGAAATAAAGCAATTTTTTAATTTTTTCTTGTTCTTTCCTTTTCTTCCCTTATTTTTACTTTTCAATAACTTGTTAATTTGACTTGTGTTGGCTTGGGAATGCTTAGATAGGTAAGAGTAGTCTAGAATGTGTGAGGTTCCTTCCCCACCATTTTGTGTGCAAGGCATTTAAATAGCTGCCGCCATGCCTGGATTATGCAATGCTAGGCTGCCTTAAATATTCACTTCTTAAAAACTTAATGCTTCTTGAAGGATCATGTACTTAGAACACTTGTGGGTATTGTGTTATGTACATAGAGCTTTATTTCATAGTAGATATATCCAGTCATTCAAATGTTATGTTTTATTTTTCAATATATAGAATTAATAAGAATTCAGAGAAGAGATATCTCACAAGATTAGAGATTTATGTTTTCTTAGATCCAGTATCCTAGCTAGACAAAAGTCTTCCATTGCTATGAGAATATGCAAATATCCTGTGAGGGAAAAATAAAGGAGTGATAGGAAATGAAGATGGAGAAAATGGCCTGTTGGCATGTGAGCTACAGATTGGATAATTGGAGCTGAAATCTGTAATGAAGAACAAGAAACTGCCTGAATATAGTGCAGCTCTGTCATCCTCTGTTGATTGCTGGCCCTCAGGATGCTTACTTCGGGGGAATTTTTATGTGAATCCCGTCCAAATCCCATCCATCCTCACCAACCACATTGAGTATCCAATACCATGATACCTATTTGGGACCACCTAGCTTATTGAACCTAGTTTGACTGCAACAAGCACACGCAGCGCTTCCACATTCATTCCTTAGTACTTCTCCATTCACTTCACTTGATCTCCTCCCACCTAGACATAGCCATACATACCTGGGTTCTCTTGGGAGCCAGGACACATTTGCTGATGGTAGAATATTTAGGTGAACATAGAGTGAAAGATGCAGGAGTGGATCTTAATATGGCCAAGTATTATACGAAATTTGCATAAATTCATTAAAAATTAATTTGAAAAACTTGAATGGATGCTTTTCAGAAAGAACCTCCACTTCTAAGGCAGTGTCTTATGTTAAGTTGTGAGAGAATGTATGAGCAGTAATATGAGACTTCTAAAGAATATCAGGAATGGACTTGTACAATTGTGTGCAGAGCTACAATGGGACTTCATACTCTTCTGATAAGACCTGAGAATATGCTTGACTGTTGATGTAGTTTTTGGAGCTTATTGGAAAAAATATTGATATATGCAGGAACTAATTTAACTTAGCCTGAGTTAACAAGGCTGCTCTTTACATATAAATCATAACTATTTGTTTTCTTTACCACTTTTTATTTATCATTTTTAGTATTTTGTGCATATGAATATATTATCTGCATACATGTAAGTGTACCATATTATGCAATGCCCAAGAAGGTCAGAAGAGAGTGTTAGATCCCCTGGAACTGGAGTTAAAGGTAGGTGCAAGGTGCCTTATGGGCAATGGAAATTGAACCCGGGGCCTCTGTAACAGCAACCAGTGCTCTTTGTCATCTCTTCATATCTCTTTACTGCTTTTTAATTTCACCCAAAAAGTAGACTGGAACCTGAGAAAACAAGAATCATTTTATGCTTGATAATATCCACATGCTCCAAAGAAAGGAGTGAATAACATTGCCTCAGATTTCTGGGATTGTTTCAGAGGATATTCCACTGTCCTTGATGGAAATGTGGCAGAAAATCAAATATAGGAATAGGAAGTATTAAAAAACCTGAAACGCACAAAAATTCAATAAAGAGAATTTAAAAATTCCTGATTACTCATAGGCTTGGATGTTGAAGCTGTGCTTTGTCCAACAGAGAGGAGCATGCTCTCTACAGACACACCTATGCTGCTATTGTCTGCCTTGGACACATGGGGAACACTTGGCCTGTGTTGAGCCTTAAAGATGAACTCAGCCAAATCCTCCAACTGTTTCAAACCCTGCCAGTTCCTTCTGATTTGGATGTGATCTGGACCCACCTCACCCCACAGACTTATAATAGTCTTTTTGTACCCCAGAAGGTGTTAGTTATAATCAAAACACAGCATAGACATGAAGGACACTTCTCAGCTCCTGGGGCTTCTGCTGCTCTGCTTTTCAGGTAAGAAAGGGAAACGGGATTTTTGTCCAGTGTGGGCAGTGCTGTGTGTCTTTCTAAGAGACTCACCATCTAACAATATTATTCGGTATATATTTGTTGTATGTTTCTCCTCTCAGGTGTGAGATGTGACATCCTAATGACTCAGTCTCCATCCTTGCTGTCTGCATCTCTGGGAGATAGAGTCACCATGACTTGCAAGGCCAGTCAAAGAATTGGTAATATGTTAGCTTGGTATCAGCAGAAACCAGGGGAAGCTCCTAAACGCCTGATCTATGATGCATCTGCTCTGGAATATCAGATCCCATCAAGGTTCAGTGAAAGTGAATTTGGTAGGTTATACACTCACAATTAACAACCTGGAGTCTGAGGACATTGCCACTTACTACTGTCAACAGGGTTATAGTACCACTCCCACAGTGATTCAAGTCATAACATATAACTCCCAGGGAAGCATAAGTGCAAGGCTGTGCTGCCCAGCTGCTCCAAGTGGTGTATGCAACTGCACCTTTCCATTGAAAGCCAGTTATGGAAAGTTTCTGGGAGGTTTTGAAGAAAATTGTCAGACAGGGTGCTCTGCATTTAAATCTCTTTCCTCCTTTTCAGTCTCAGAAGCACAGACAGGAAAAAAGTCTCTACTGATTTAGTAAAGGATTCAGACACTGACATATGAAGTATATAGTTTTGATATAACTGTTACTTCTATGCCCATTGAATAATGGAAGTCAACCTAATCATCAGCTTTTAGAATTACTTTTAAATGTCTTAATTCAGGCAATTGTACTAACCTATTGTCATTAACTGTGCTCTAAGGAAAACTTAGAGTATAAACTAGGGCTCTTTGAAGTGAATGTTCATCTACTGGAGGCTAGTCAGCCTATCTGAAGTGATTCCCTTAACAAAGATCTACTTCACCCAGCAGTAAACAGTTGCCAATTGCTCCTCATTTAGTGTTGGGACTTACTCTCCATTTCCCTTTTACTGTTCTGGGATTTTTGTCTGATTGAGTAGAGGTCTTGTGCATGCTGTAACCCTTGTTGTAAGTTCATATGAGCAAGTTACCAGTGGTGCAAAAGCCTCTATTTTCTTTTTTTTTAAAAAGTTTTCTAATATAGTTAGCTATTCAAATCTTTTTCTAAATTAATAACAACATGATTAGAAAAAGCATTTCATTACAGCTTCAACATATTCAGTTTTCAGAACAAGGATATATCTCTTTCAAAAGTGGCTCTTGATCAAGGAGGCCAAGGAGACCCCACATGATGGACTTGAACCAGTGTCCAGTCTATAAAGAGGAGG